CATTACTTGCATTTGTCTCTCTCCATTCAGGAGTATAAATGAGTACCTGTTATGATGATGTGACATTGAATGTATTAGTCTGTGCGCAAGGGATGTCTAGGTGTATACCTAGGCAATGGTGAAGGTTGCACATATAAAATAGAAAATTCAATGCATAAACGCTTGTACCATTAATGTATGTATCTGTAGGTAACGCAACCTTGTTATTATTTTCAGGCAAGTAACATTGTTTGAGGAGCTGCAACTTTTGAAGGAGTTTGAGAAAAGTGAGAATGTTCTTGCTGCTAAAGTGGAGAGCAAAGAGAATGAAAAGCAGGAAATGCTGATGAAAGTCGTTGACTGTAAAGCCAAGTTGGATGCTAAGAGGAAGGATATTGACCGCCTTCATGAAAAGGAAAAGGCTTTATACGCACAGTTCCAAGCTTCTCTCGGAGAAAATAACAAGTTTGCCGAGTTCTTGACGAAAGTATTCAAGAAGAAGATCAAAAGAGCGAAGAAGAAAGCACAGACTGAGGATGGAGGTGGGCTTACAATCCTTTACTAATACAATATCTACCTTAATTATTAACCAATTTGATTACCTTAATTTTTCTTCCTGAAATCATTTTTTTAATGCAAAAATATAGTGATGTGCATTGTGTTTGTCCTTGCCTCATTAGAAGTTGATAACTTATTTGATCTTGAAGCAATTAAATGTGTTCATTTAGTTGGTAGGTGTTATTTAAATAAAATTTAAAGAATATAGAAGAACGTAGAGGGTTGCATATTTTTTTGGGAGCATGATAGTGGAATTCAGTTCCTTTCATTGCCTTTAGAAAATGAAGTTAGTTTTTTCTCCTAAACTCAAACCAAATTTCATGCTTTTCATAAATACTATATTTAGAGTAAATTAATTTATGTATTCAATTTTTTAAAACAATTTCTTAGCCTCTGATGATGAGAGTGAAGAAAGCTCTGAAGATGAATCTGATTGGTCAAGCGAAGAGGAAGACAGTGATGAGGATGGACTAGATGACTCGGTGTGTCCTCCCGGATGCGATCAGGTATCATGCTCAAACTTGGATGATAAGAAATCAAGAGTGCTAAGTTCAATTCTTAGAATTCAAAGCTTATTAGGCCTTCAAACTGTAGGCTCCTTATAAGAATACCAATTTTGATACGCTGTATATATAAGTTTTCAAATTCATTTTAACTTTGATTAAGAATAACATACTTGTCAGTTAATAGCTATTTAAATTTTAAATAATTCTGTTTTCTAAAGGGTCTGTTTGACAACACATGCGCTCTGCGTGAGAAGCGACTTGACATCGAAGAGTTGTTAACTGAAGAGAAAAAAACAGCCGAAGTGCTTAAGAAAGAGACCGACACACTAGGTCGCAAACAGAAGATCATTGAAAATGCACTCAAAACAGCTGAGGGTGACTTAGAGGCCTTCCAGGTATTTGAGGATTACTTAATTGTATTGTAAATACTATTTCTGCCAACAGTTTATTTAACTAATTAAACTCGTTGCTTATGAGGTGAAGCATTGCTTAGTAATTGGTACCACTACATTCCTTATTTCTGTCATTGGTATTGCAACATTTGAGTCATTTTTTGGTAATTCTGATGTCAAAGTAATGAAATTTCAAATATTTTATAGTTTATATGTATGTTTACAATGGCTTTTGTCAAGTTGTAAACCACAGTTGGGCAAGGCGAGGCCTGGGGCCCCCATGCGGCCCGACAGTGATCTTTTTGCAGCCCACGAAAATTAATTAAAAACCCAATATCTGCAACCCACCAAACATTTTTGACTAGAAAACACCTTGTTTTGGACGGCCCGACACCGATCATCTGTAAAAAGTATTGTTAAAACTGAGAATAAAGTGGTATAAAAGCAGTGCATGAAATTTTTTGAAAGCACACTGTAAACATCAAAGTTTGGTTGCAGTCCTCAGTATTGAATCAAAAAATCACTTTGGCCCTTCAACAGATTTTTAGGCCCACCCCTGTTGTAAACAGTATCAATTATCTATTGTGAAAGCACTTTTGT